CAGGCCCAGAGTTCAGGCCCCACGATTGGACCCCCCCCCCCCAAAGAAAAAAAAGAGTTTTATGGACTTTCCTGCCTGGGCTGGCTTTAAACTGGGATCTTCAAATCTCAGCCTCCTGAGTAGCTAAGATTAAAGCGTCAGGCTCCTACTATTTAGGCTTTCCAAATAGCTGGGATGACAGGCTTACCACTGCTACCAGCTTCTTTTTTAATTGGTTGAGATGGAATCTTGATGTCTTTTTTTTACCAGACTATCTTGGAACTAAAATTCCTCTGACCTTTGCCTCCCTGAATAGAATTACAAGTGTGAGCCAATACACTCAACACTGGGACGGATTTGGGGGAAGCAGAAATAGGAAGATCAAAATCCATGTTGAAATAATCAATGCAAAAAGGGCTGATGGAGTGGCTAAAGTGATAGAGCACCTGCCTAGCAAGTATGAGATCCTAAGTTCAAATATTAGTACTGCCAAAAATAAAAATAAAAAATACTAAATAGGGGAAAACTTAAATTCTGTAAAACATTACAGAATTTGCACATAGTGCAGGTTTTCCCTCCATTTCTCCACCCTCTATCAAGTTCCCAGGCCACTTAGCGTTTTCTCTAAGCCATCCTGAAAGTCCAGTAGTTGTTAGGTAAGATCAGTTGCTGGGGTAAAAAGGAGAAATAAGCAACAAAAGGAGCTCCAGTTCTAGACATGTTGAAGGGAAAAGGAAAGGATAGCTGTGGTTGATGATGGCAAAGAGTATCTGGAGAAGTAAAAATCTCCAAGGAGAAAAGCTTCAGTTACTATAGTTGAGAGGAGAGGAGTCTTGAGGAGTCAATAGAGGCCAAATGATATGCCATGCATGCACTGTTAAGGGATTTGATTTGTTCTTTTGCTGTGGAAGGTAAGAATGCTATTAAAATTTTTTCATGTGAAAGTGTCTAAATCGATTTTACTTTTCAAGTCACTTAGGAATCATTAGGGTGGTTGGACTGAAGAGAGTTGAGACTGAAGGCAAGAAGCTCTATTAAGAAATAAATCAGGGGGTGGGGGTGGGGAAAAAAAAAGAAATAAATCAGCTGGGTGCCGGTGGCTCATGCCTGTAATCCTAGCTACTCAGGAGGCTGAGATCTGAGGATCGCAGTTCAAAGCCAGCCCGGGCAGGAAAGACCGTGAGACTCCTATCTCCAATAAACCACTAGAAAACTGGAAATGACACGATAGCCACATCAGCACTTGTGGCTTTTTTTGTTTATATAGTACTGAGGAATCAAACCCAGAGCTTCATGCATGCTAGGCAAGCACTCTACCACTAGGCCACATTCCCAGCCCTGATTTCTTTCTTTCTTTCTTTTTTTTCTTTTTTGGTTGGTCATGGGGCTTGAACTCTGGGCCTGAACGCTGTCCCTCAGCTCTTCAGCTCAAGGTGAGCGCTCTACCACTTGAGCTACAGCGCCACTTCTGGTTTTCTGGTGGTTTATTGGAGATAAGAGTTTCACAGACTTTCCTGCCTGGGCTGGCTTTGAACTGTGATCCCCAAATCTCAGCTTTCTGAGTATCTAGATTGCAGGTGTGAGCCACCAGCACCCGACTGGCATTGAACTCTTGATCCTTCTGTTTCAGGCATGCAGCATATATATATATATATATGTATATATATATAATATGTATATGTATATATTATATATAATATATATGATTTTTCTAAGAACCTGATGCTTTGATGCCTCAGCAGGAGGGAACTATATATAAAAATGAGAGATTTTCTAGTATTTTTTATAAATAAGAGAGAATGAAAGAGTCTGAAGCTACAAGTGATCGAATTCCTAATCTAAAATAGTACATGGTTATTTAGTAATGTGGTTATGGAATTCGGTAATTTTTATAATTTGATTTGTGGTTTACTTTAGAATTCAATTAAAATCAAATGTCTCTTTTATAGAAATGCTTCCTTAATTTATGTTTTAGGATAGTTCACAAGAAGGCTAGTTATATTTATTTTATATGTTTGTGTGTATATTGTCTGCAGTGAATCAACTAGTCTTTTACTCAGTGTAAAAACTCAACTAATAGCTCACATTTATCTGAAGAAGGGACTACAATGAAATATTATTACATAATCATAGTGATTTTTGGAATATTCTCTTGAGGTCTGGGTGTTTTTCATAGAGGTAATTAATATACAGTGGCTTATGGAAAGATTCTTAGGTTTCAGAAATAGTATGTTTAAATTATACTACATTTTAATCATTTTTATGTGTTTACATAGCAAAAAATAATGTTCACTTTTTATTTCAGAGCCCTGTAAGACAGGGAAGATATTAAAAGTTTGTAGCTTAAGGAAATTTAGAGATTAGATGACCAGCTCCATATAACACAGGTGAATTAGTAGCCAATTTTCTTGGCTTTGAATTTGAGTATGTGTTTTTTAAAAATTTTTATTTATTTTTTATTGTGAAAATACTGTACAGAGGGGTTACAATTACATGGGCAAGATACTGAGTACATTTCTTATCAAGCATTGTAGTTTCCTCCTTTGTTTTCCCTTCCCATCCATTCCCATTCTCCCCCTCCCTTCCCATCCAATCCTCCCCGTATATGTTTTTTTTTGGGAGACAACAAAGGAGACACCAGAAGAGCCACTGATGTTTGGTGCTGTTTTTTACCTTTAAAGAACCACGTTGGGCTGGGAATGTGGCTTAGTGGCAGAGTACTTGCCTAGTATGCATGAAGCCCTCGCTTCAATTCCTCAGTACCACATAAACAGAAAAGGCCAGCAGTGGCACTGTAGCTCAAGTGGTAGAGTGTTAGCCTTGAGCAAAAGAAGCTCAGGGATATCACTTAGGCCCTGAGTTCAAGCCCCAGTACTTGCAACCCCCCCCCCAAAAAAAAAACATGTAGTTTTATTACACAGAAACCAGTTGTCGCAGAATATTGCTATATTACTTGAAAAAAAACAATTGATGATGCTCATGCCTATGGAATTTGCATTCACCTTTTGGTCTTCCTTTGGTGATTATCTTTTCTCCTTCTGAACACATTGAGGAATCTATAAGGCAGACAATTAGTATTTAAGAAACAAATGACAAACACTAAGTCAATACTAAGTATTCTATTTTTAACTCAGTTTAAAATGACTTTGGAAATAGTATACATATACTTGTATATTGAAAGTGAATTAATTTGACAGTATCAAGTGAATTCACTTATATTTTGTGTTTTCATTAAAAATAGGGCAGTTGAAAATATTATTTTCTGGGCTGGGAAGGTGGCTCAGTGGTAGAGCACTTGCCTTGCATGCTCGAGGCCCTGGGTTCAATTCCTCAGCACCACATAAGCAAAAAGAAAAAAGCCGGAAGTGGCGCTGTGGCTCAAGTGGTAGAGCGCTAGCCTTGAGCTGAAGAGCTGAGGGACAGCGCCCAGGCCCAGAGTTCAGGCCCCACGACCGGACCCAAAAAAAAAAAAAAAAGAAAATATTAGTTTCTGTCTCCTCTGAAATAAGACTCAATATTCTGCTCTAATACTATATAGTTATGAATCATCTACATATGCATATAAGAAAGAAGCCATAAGCATTTATCTAAATGACCAAAAACCAGGGCATACTAAAGCCACCAGCACAACCTTGTTCATTGCAGCATTGTTTACTATAGCTAAGGTATAGAATCAACCCAGATGCCTCTCAGTGGACAAATGGATCGAGAAAATGTGGTATATATTCACAATGAAATTCTGTGCTTCCATCAGAAAGAATGATATTTCTTCATTTATAAGGAAATGGACAGAAATTATACTAAGTAAAGTAAGCCAGACCCAAAGAAACATAGGTTTCCCTCATTTGTAATAATTAGAATGTGCCTGTAAATCTACAAGTAAATCCAATGGATAGTAAAAGACAAATAATTACACTTGGACATGATTAATTAAACAACACTTTAAATATTTACACAGTGAGAACAAAAGAGGATATTCTTAGGAGTGGATCACAAGGGCTCAATAGCTATGTGCATATGATCATATGAGCTAGTGCTCTACCACTTTGAGCCACAGCACAACTTCTGGTTATCTAGTGGTTAATGGGAGATAAGAGTCTCATGGACTTTGCTTCCCAGGCTGGATTTGAACTTCAATCCTCAGATCTCAGCCTCCTGAGTATCTAGGATTACAGGCATGAGCCACAGGTACCCACCACAGGATTTTTTTTAAATTGTACTATTTGCAGTTCTTCTTTTGTTTCTTTTTTTTTTTCCTTTGGGTTATTCTCTTTTGTCACTTAAAAATTTTTTTCTTTGTTTTGTATCTGATTTGGGGAGGGGAAGAGGAGGCACCAAAAAATGGTGGGACAAAGAGTGATCCAATTCAGCAGTGATACTCACTAGACACTATGTTGGAAATGAACTATACAACTTGGGGGGAAGGGGAAATGGGAGGGGAAAAACTGGGAGAGAATGAGGGAGGAGGTTACCCTCCTTATTACCTGACCTATGTAACTGTAAGCCCTCTGTACATCACCTTTACAATAAAATTTAAAAAAAGAAGCCACAGAATATCTGGATAGAATAAAAAAGTTTCTATAAGATTTGGTATAAAAATGCAGTTCATTTAAGTGACAGAGATTTTCTTTTTTTTTTTTAATGAATAAAGGTTTATTCAAGAAAACTATAGCCGGGCGCTGGTGGCTCACGCCTGTAATCCTAGCTACCCAGGAGGCTGAGATCTGAGGATCGCGGTTCAAAGCCAGACCGGGCAGGAGAGACCGTGAGACTCCTATCTCCAATAAACCACCAGAAAACCGGAAGTGGCGCTGTAGCTCAAGTGGTAGAGCGCTCACCTTGAGCTGAAGAGCTGAAGGACAGCGCCCAGGCCCAGAGTTCAAGCCCCACGACCGACAAAAAGAAAAAAGAAAAAGAAAAGAAAACTATAAAAAATGTCTAATTAGTTGCTGTATACATAAGTTCATATGTAGTTTTAGAGATTTTCTTTTAATATTTCAATACTTTCATTTGCTTTCCTTTACATTATAGGGTAGATGATATGCCTCCGGGAATATCTCTGCTTCCTGATAATATTCTTCAGGTTCTGAGGATGCAGCTACTACAGTGTGTTCAGAAAACAGCCGATGGTTTAGAGGAACAACAACAAGCCTTGTCAATTTTGCTTGTCAAGTTCTTCATTATTCTTTGCAGGTATCTGGCATAAAAGTAATTATTAGTTAAAAAATGATTATTACTGGGGCTGGGAAGGTGGCTCAGTGGTAGAGTACTTGCCTTGCGTGCATGAGGCCCTGGGTTCGATTCCTCAGCACCACATAAGCAGAAAGAAAAAAGCCGGAAGTGGTGCTGTGGCTCAAGTGGTAGAGCGCTAGCCTTGAGCTGAAGAGCTGAGGGACAGTGCCCAGGCCCAGAGTTCAAGCCCTAAGACAGACCTCCCCCCCAAAAAAAGATTATTACCATAACAATACACATTATTTACTAATAATGTTTGTTGTTTATATGAATCTTTAAAGAGTGTGTTCATCATTTGTGTTTGTCTTGTTGTTTGTTGATGTATTGGAAAAATCTTTTAATTAGTATACCAAATTATAGAGAGACTCAGCCAAAACTTTTTAATGTGATTTTAGAGTAAAGACAGTAACAGAAGTTTTTACTTCTGTAAGAAATAATTACACCAGTATTTTAAGTATTGTTCAAACTTGTAAATATATGTACTTTTAGCTGGGCACTGGTAGCTCACGCCTGGAATCCAAGCTACTGAGAAGGCTGAGATCTGAGGATCATGGCTCAAAGTCAGCTGGGCAGGAAAGTCTGTGAATCTCTTATCTATAATTGACTAGCAAAAAGCCAGATGTAGCAATATGGTCCTAGTATTCTATAGAGTGCTAGCCTTGAGCAAGAAAGCTAGGAGACAGCTCCCAGGCACTGAGTTTGAGTTCTACGACCAGTACATACATACACAAAAGTGTACATATATATATATATATATATATATATGTACATATATATTATATATGTGTACATATATATATATATATACACACACACATATATATGCACACACACAAACATTTTTTTTTGGTGCTGCTGGGAATTGAACCTAGGGCTTCATGTATGCTATGTCACTGCTGTGCCACTACCTCCCTATCTCTGAAAAGTACATTTTTATCACCATATTTTATATTTGTAAAACCGTATCCATCAACTCTTTGATTTTGTCAACAAAGTACAATTGTACTAAATCTTATCATATTTTCCAGATATGTAGATTACGTCTTTGGTATTTAAATTTTGGTTTACTTAAATTTTGGTTTACTTAAGTATCAACTAGAAAGATTAATTAGAATTACAGATCATTACTTATGGAAAAGACTTAGACACTTGGTACTGGTGGCTTATACTTATAGTTCTAGTTATTTAGAGATCTGAGAATCATGGTCCAAAGCCAGCCTGGGAAACAATATATGTGACTTATCTTTAGTTAATCAGCCTTAGGTGTGGCTCAAATGGTAGAGTGCCCAATGTGAAAGAAAAAAGCTGAGTGAGAGCTCAAGGTGCACTTGGACATATACACACACAGTATTTAAACATCTGAATGTATAAAAATATTCTACACTAAGCCATACATAAGGATTTGAAAACTTGGGGTTCACCTCTGTAATCCTAGCTATTCAGGAGGCTGAGATCCGAAGATCGTTGTTTGAAGCCAGCTGGAGCAGAAAAGCCCATCAGTCTTTTATCTTCAATAAAACACTCAGAAAAAGCCGGAAGTGGCAATGTGGCTTAAGTGGTAGAATGCCAGTAGAATGACAGTGCCTAGGCTCTGAATTCAAGCCCTAGGACTGGCAAAAAAAAAGAAAAGAAATTGTGTTAGGGGTATAATATGCTTCTTGAAATCTGTAATCTGTAGGAAATGACTTCTATAATATATGCTGCTTTAGAAATACAATTAGTAGCTGAATGGCATCCTAATTTACCTTGTAGTCATGTTTTCCTTAATTGTTTATTGCCTTTAATTACAAAAATTATGGAATGAGTAAATAGTTGCTCAAACATTTTATCTCCAGGAACCTTAAATATATGTCTGTTTTCATGTTCATCCTTATCCTTAAATTATAGGTGGAAAAACATAAAAATTACAAAGGCAGAGTGGAACTGCTTTACTTGAGATTTCCTCTGAATTGTAAATTTGCTACATTTTCTTCTGTTGTTAATGGTCTACTGTCTTACCAAACTAAAACATTCTTTAGTTTTTAATTTTTATTTTTTATTAACCTTAAGTAGTTGGGCAAAGTGGTTTTGGCTCAACATGTCAATTTGTGAGTACAGTGCATTTTGATCAATGTTATCTCTAATAACTTACATAATTGTTTTAAATTCAGTATGTTTTGAGGTTGATAATAGAATGAAGCATAGGAATGCTCACCACATTTTTTTGGTTGAAATTTTCTTTAGTAGTAGATAGTCTTTGGTGATAAATTTAGTGTTGAGTAGCCACCAGTTACAGATCATATTTCTAGAGACTTCACTTTAGTTTTCAAGCTACTTTTAAAAGTTTTACTTTTTTTCCCTTCAGCACTGTGGTTTGAGCGCAGGTCCTTGCAGTCTACCACTGGAGCCACATCCCACATGTTCAGAGATGTTTAGATTAACATAAAACCTACAAAGCACAAAGATTTCTAGGTATCTTCTCTCCCTTTTCCTTGTTATTACCATCTTTTATTAGTGCAGAACTTCTGTTAGGATGGATCAATATCCTTAAAGGATATTAAAGCATGAAACAATATCAACTAAAGTCTGTACTGTATGTTAGGGTTACTGTTTGTACTTTATATTTCTATAGGTTTTGACAAATGCTTTAGTTAAAGTTTACAGTATTCATTAGGGTTCACCATTTGTGTTATACAGTTATATGATTAAGACAAATGAATATTGTCATGTAGCACCATTACGGTATTATTCAGAATCGTTTACCTTCTTAAAACTGGCTTGTGTTCCATCCTATCCCCTGTACCAATCTCTAGCAACTAGTAATCTTTGTATTGTATGTATAGTTTTTCCATTTCTAGAATGTCATGTATTGAGAATCATGCAGTATACAACCTTTTATAGACTAGATTCTTTTGCATATGCAGTCTTCTATATCTTTTTTTATGACCTGAGAGCACATTTCTTTTTAATCACTGAAGATGATGATACTTATAGATGCACAAGTTTATTCATTCACATATTGGAGGATGTCTTGATTAATTTTAGCATGTTATGAATTGCTATTCATGTATGGGTTTTGCATGGGTATGAGTTTTCACCTGATTTAGGTAAATTCCTAGGAGCATAATTGCTGTTTCATATGGTAAGCTTGTGTCAGAAACTGCCTCATATGGCTGTAGACATATTTACATTCTCATTGGCAGTTCATGAGAGTTCCTCTTGTTCCCCATCCTTTCCAGATGATGTTATCTGTGTCAATTACTTTTTCTGTTACTAGGGTTTGAACTCAGTACTGTGAACTTGCTAGGCAAGCACCTACCCCTTAAGCAACACTTCATCCCCTTTTGCTCTAGTTTATTTTTCAGATAGTGTTTCCATCCTTTACTGTCTTGGGCCACAGTCCTACTACCTCCACTTCTGGTTTATCTGCGATTACAGCTCTGTGCTACCACAGCCAGCCTTATAATAGTTACTTTTTATCATTTCTGTGATTACATACCTGATGGAAACAAATAAAACAAATTAAGGGAGAAACTAATTATTTTAACTCATTGTTTCAGAGGGTTCCATCCATGATTTTTGGGTCCATGCACTCAGGCAGAAAGTCATGGTGCAGGAATGTGTGGCAAAGGAGGTTCTTAAATCATGGCAGACAAAGCAGAGAATATGATGTTATAGGAAGGCCAGGACAATATATACCCCAAGAACAACCCTTTCCTCCCCACCCAGGCCAGGCACTAGTGGCTCAGGCCTGTAATTCTAGTGGCTCCGCATGTGAGATCTAAGGATGGAGTTTCATGCCAGCCCTGACAAATTTCTGAGACTCTTATATCCAATTAACCAGCAAAATGCTGCAAGTAGAAGGGTGGCCTAAGTGTTAGAGTGACAGCCTTGAGTGAAAATGCCAGATGACAAGTCCCTGAGTTTAAGCATAGAACAAACCAACAAAACAAACTTATTCCAGTTAAGCCTCTATCAAGGGATTAATGTAATGATTAGTTCTGAGCCTTCAGGATCCAGTTACTTAGCAAAAGTCCATCAGTTATCAATCAGGATCTCAATACATTAGGTCATATTTTATATTATTTTATATTTAAACTATAGCACCATTCTTTAAATTTTAGCCATTCTAGTATATGTAGTATTCCACAATTCAGTTGTAATTCTCTAATTTTTTAAAGATGTACAGCATCTTTCCTATGTCTTCTGTGTTGATATATCTGTCTAGCTCTTTTTCTCAGTTTTAAAACTGGGCTGCTGTTTTATTAAATTTAAAAGGTTTAGCTGGGCGCTGGTGGCTCATGCCTGTGATCCTAACTACTCAGGAAGCTGAGATCTGAGGATAGTGGTTCAAAGCCAGCTTGAGAAGGAAAGTCTATGAAACTCTTACCTCCAGTTAACCACCAAAAAAGCCTGTAAGTGGAACAGTGTCTCAATGGTTGAGCACCAGCCTTGACCCAGAAAGCTCAAGGACAGTTCCCAGGTCCTGAGAACCCTAGAACTAGCACACAGACACAAAAAGGTCTTTGAATATTTTGAGATAGAGGGTTTTTTTTTTGTTTGTTTGTTTTTTTGGGTTCAGTCGTGGGGCCTGAACTCTGGGCCTGGGCGCTGTCCCTCAGCTCTTCAGCTCAAGGCTAGCGTTCTACCACTTGAGCCACAGCGCCATTTCCGGCTTTTTTCTTTTTTCTTATGTGGTGCTGAGGAATCGAACCCAGGGCCTCAGGCATGCAAGGCAAGGGCTCTACCACTGAGCCACCTTCCCAGCCCCCAGAGTTTTTTGTTTTTTGTTTTTAATCAGCTAACTTACTTGAACATTTTCTTGGTTTGTGACTTGTCTTCATTCTTGTATTTTAGTCTTTTGTAGAATAGGAGATTTTTATTTTAATCAAATTTAAGTAATCAGTTTTCCTACATGGATTGTGTTCCTTTGTTTTGTATCTACAAAAATCATTAGAAAATCCAAATCTACTTAGATTTCTCCTGTATCTATTTTTTGTTCCATATTGGGGCTTGATCTCAAGGCCTGGGCACTATCCCTAAGCTTAGCTTTTTCACTCAAGGTTTGCACTTTATCACTTGAACCAGTTTCCCTTCTAGCTTTTTGGGTGGTTAATTGAAGATCAGAGTCTAAGGGATTTTCTATCTGAATTAGCTTTGAACCTCAGTCCTCAGATCTCAGCCTCCTGAGTAGTTAAGGTTACAGGTATGAGTTACTGGCACCTGGCTTCTATATTCTCTTATAATATTATTAGCATTCATTTCACTTGTTTTTAGTTATAATCATCAATATATGTCTGTGTTATTTTGTATAAAGTATAATGTTAAATCTATTAAGAATTAAATAAAGATTGTATTTTGTCCTTTTCCTTCTTAAATTCTCTTCCTTTTCTTTATGTAGTCTCTAATGGATCTAAGAAATGTTGTTTTTCAGTTTATTCAGCTTTTTTTCTCATTGTGATCATGAGAATAATGACTTCTCTTTACACATTAGGTCAGAAAAGAAAAGTGTAATTTTTTTTTTGGGGTCCGGTCGTGGGACCTGAACTCTGGGCCTGGGCCACAGCACCATTTCTGGCTTTTTTCTTTTTGCTTATGTGGTGCTGAGGAATTGAACCCAGGGCCTCAGGCATGCAAGGCAAGCACTCTACCACTGAGCCACCTTCCCAGCCCTGAAAAGTGCAATTATTTTATGACAATTCAAATTTAAGAGGCAGGGGAACAAAGAAATATAGGCAGGGCTGGAACTATATATATAGTCTAAACTGACAGTTTCATACTTTGAAGTTTTGGTACTTCATCTATAAAGATATTTTAAAATTTTTAATATATGTATACTGTACTACTTCCTTGGGTACTTTTCAGTCATAGCTATAAGGGCTAGAGATTTTATATGCCAAATGACCCACTCATTTAAAATGTATCATTTTAATGTTTTTTGTATAGTACAGAATTGTGCTATCACCACAGTCAATTTTAGAACATATGCACCCGCCCATTAACAATCACTCTCTGTTCATCCTTTCTCCATCCCCTGGAAACCAGAGGTCTACTTTGTGTTCTAAATATAGTAGAGAAATAAAACCATGCACTATGTGGTCTTTTGTAACTGATAGCTTGTATTTAGCATGTTTCAAGGTTCATAAATGTTGTAGAATATATTTATATTTCATTTGTTTGCATGGCTGAATTATATTCCATTTGCAGCTACGTCACACTTTATTCATTCATCAGTTGATGGACATTTAGTTTATTTAGTTTTACTTTTTGGCTGTCATCAATACTGTTGCTGTGAACAGTCTTAGAAGTTTTTGTATAGATACTATTTTCTTTTGCCCAGGCGTAAAATTGTTGGTTACTATTTGAGAAAATGCCAGACTTTCATTTGCCATTCTCATCAGCAGTATATGAAGATTTTTTTTTTTTTTTGGTCAGGTCGTGGGGCCTGAGCTCTGGGCCTGGGCGCTGTCCCTCAGCTCTTCACCTCAAGGTTAGTGCTCTACCACTTGAGCCACAGCGCCACTTTGGTTTTTTTCTTTTTTGCTTATGTGGTGCTGAGGAATCGAACCCAGGGTCTCATGCATGCAAGGCAAGCGTTCTCCCACTGAGCCACCTTCCCAGCCCCTCCACATTCTTTTTTTTGTTATTGTTGGTAATGGGGCTTGAACTCTGGGCCTGGGCACTGTCCCTCAGCTCTTCAGCTCGAGGCTAGCACTCTACCACTTGAGCCGCCGCGCCATTTCCGGCTTTTTCTGTTTATGTGGTGCTGAGGAATCGAACCCAGGGCCTCATGCATGTGAGACAAGCACTCTACCACTGAGCCACCTTCCCAGCCCTTTTTCTACATTCTTACATCACTTGTCTATGTCTTCCTTAGTCTTATTAGTGGCTATAAAGTGTGATCTCACTGTGGTTTTGCTCCAGCTAGCAGTCTAGTACTTGAGCCACAGTGTTACTTCCTGCTTTTTCTGTGATTTAATTGGAGATAAAAAAAAATCTCACAGACTTCCCTGCCCAGGCTGGCTTTGAACCATGATCTTCAGATCTCAACCTCCTGACTAGCTAGGATTACAGGCGTGAGCCACGGGTGCTTGGCTTAAAAGAAATTCTTAGTGGAACTGGTTCTTGAATGCAGGGCCTCATGCTTGCTAAGGAGGCATTCTAGCACTGAGCCATTCCTCTAGACCTTTTTTTAAATGACATAGGGGTCTTGGGTTTTTCAGTTGTTTCTGCCCAGGCCTGTCTGAGCTTCAGTTTTTCTGTTTTGCCTTTATTTTGTAGTTAGCATAACAAGTATATGCCACTTAGTCCACCTATGAGTGGAATAAACTTTTTGCCTGGGTTGGTTTTGGATACTATTCCCCTGATGTCCCCTTCAGAGTTGCTAAAATTATAGATATGTTACCACTTGACTTTAATTTTTTTGTTTTCTTAGTTTCTACTTCATTTTAAGATATAAAGTATTTTGTGAGAACAGAAAGTTAATAAGCCTTTTAAATATGTATATATATATGCTACATTATAAATAATAGCATATTATATGATATACCTTAATCTTAGAAAATGGAATAAAATTAGGATTTTGGGGGGTAGGGGAGCTTGAACTCAGAGCATTGTCCTTGAGCTTTTTCACTCAAGGCTAATGTTCTATCATTTAAAGAATAGCTTCACTTCTGGCCTTTTTTTGGTGGTTAATTGGAAATAAGAATCTCATGGACTTTTCTGCTGGGGCTGACTTTCAACTACAGTCTTTAGGTATCAGACTTCTGAGTAGCTAGGATTACATATATGAGCCACAACCACCTAGTAGGGATTTTTTTTGGGGGGGGGGAGGGTCCGGTCGTGGGACCTGAATTCTGGGCCTGGGCGCTGTCCCTCAGCTCTTCAGCTCAAGGCTAGCGCTCTACCAATTGAGCCACAGTGCCACTTCTGGCTTTTTTTCTTTTTGCTTATGTGGTGCTGAGGAATCGAACCCAGGGCCTCATGCATGCAAGGCAAGCGCTCTATCACTGAGCCACCTTCCCAGCCCCTAGTAGGGATTTAAAAAAAAAATTAAACACCAAGAACTTACTGCCTTCTACTTTCAACAGGATGTGATACTATGTGCTCTTACAGTATATAGAGATGGTACATCTATTACAGATTTAAAACATTTGAGAAAATACAACATAAATCTAAAAAGAAAACTAAAATTCATAAATCAAAGTGAACCTGTAAAAGTGTGTGGTATTATGAGAATACTGTTTACAAAAACTAAACCATGTGATCTGTATGGGGGAAACCTCTAAGGAAATAATTTAGATCTAAGTGATTGCTTATATTTGGGTTGTATATACTATTGGTGATTTTTTTCTACTTGTACTGTAGAAAAATTAGAGCATGTCATTTTCTGTAAGAAAAACATATCAAAATTTAATATGTGATACATAAGTTAGAAGTTGTTTCCGGGGTTGGAATTTGGTTAGTGGTAGAGTACTTGCCTACATGCATGAAAACCTGGGTTCAATTCCCAAGTACCACATACACAGAAAAAGCCAGAAATGGTGCTATGGCTCAAGTGGTAGACTGCTAGCTTTGAGCAAAAGAAGCCCAGGCCCTGAGTTCAAGTTCCAGGACTGGCAAAAAAAAAAAAAAAAGAAAAAAGAAAAAAAAGTTGTTTCCATTTTTCTATAAAAGAAATTTAATTATATATTAGAGAAAATTAGAAATATATAGGAAAAATTATAATTTTATTTTATCATTTTGCCAGTCCTGGGGCTTGAACTCAGGGCCTAGGCATGGTCTCTGAGACTCTGTGCTCAAGGCTAGTGCTCTTCCACTTGAGCCACAGTGCCACTTCAGGCTTTTTCTTAGTAGTTTATCGTAGGTAAGAGTCACAGACATTTTTGCCTGGGCTGGCTTTTAACTGCAGTCCTCAAATCTTAGCTTCCTAACTAGCTAAGATTATAGGAGTGAGCCACTGACTATCTAAAATGATAGATCTGAGATTGTATGATCTTGTAAAATACTTTATATCATAATTTTTTTATTTATAGTGGTTAAGTGGTATTTAAGGTTTATTTGATATTTTTAGTAGAAAAGATTATATAGGCATATTGATTTTATGTTATAATAATATATTTGTACTTTGTTTGCCAACATCTATTCTCAGAATTTAAGCAGAACACATGAGGATGCATTTTGTTCACCATTTGTTTAAGATATAATATATTTTCTTTACAGAAATCTTTCAAATGTAGAAGAAATTGGGACTTGCTCTTATATTAACCATGTCATCACCATGACAACACTCTATATTCAGCAAGTAGGTGTGAACTAATATATTCCCTTTTGTTGCTTTGTTAAGGCCAAGTTTTCTTATAGCTAATATAGGTAAATGTTTTCATAAAAGGTAGTTGAAAAAAGAATTAAAATTATCATTGGATAATCTGTGTTTCAGAAGAAATGTTACATGCTGTCTAAAGAAAGGAAGTTTTTATTAGTATTTTATTATTTAATTTTTTTTCTTACATTAGTTATACCAAAGGGGATTATATTACTATTTATTCACACCTGTTTATAATATGTTTTGATCAATGTTGCTTTAATTTAAGTGTTAAAGTGTTTTATAAATAAGTAATAGTTTGTGTTTTTTATGTATGTATATACATATAAAACATATCACCAAATTTCTTGCTGAAACTAAATTTTTTTTGATTACCTGTTATAAATGATTCTAGAAAACATTTAAAACTTGAGAATGTATATCCAATCTACTGGTTAAACACTTCTTTCAGATTCATAGGGGAAGTTAAGCTTATTTGAATAAAAATAATTTATTGTTAGATGATGAGTAAGTCATGTCTTTGATTTTATGTTTAACTTCATTCTAGTTAAAAAGCAAACAAAAGGAGAAGGAAATGGCGGATCAGACATCTATTGAAGAATTTGTGATCCATGCATTGGCATTTTGTGAAAGTTTGTATGATCCATATAGGAATTGGAGACATAGAATTTCGGGGTATGTCCTATAAGTCATAATGATCATTTAAAATCTGAATGTGATTCTTTAAGGAATATCTTCTCTAAAAAAAAAAGAATATCTTCTCTATAAAAGCAACTGGAAAGATATGTATAAAACTTAAGGGTTTAACTGTGAAGTAGAGAATTGTGTCGGTGGTAATAAGTGATAAATATCCTTTCAGATATTGTGAACATAAGTGAATACTGATAATTTGATAAGAGATGTTGAAAGCACATATATTAATATCATATAAAGTCCAGATATATCAAGAGAAGATTTCATATATGTATTTTTTAGCATATTTTAATATATGTATAGCTTTGTGGTAACGTGCATACAAGGCCTTTGATTTGTTCTCCAGCACTCTTAGACACCCAACACAATCCACAAATTGTGTATTTGAAAGTATTTTTTAACAATGTATTGCCTATTTGAAAAATTTATTAGTGCTATTTATTTATTTAGGTTCTGGAGATTGAATTTCACTGAAAAATTTTTAATCCTGTATTAGTCAAGGTGGTTAAGTTAGGAAAACAAATCACACTAGCTATTTTTTAAATTATAATTTCTTATATTTATTTTTAAATTATATTGTATAGGATATATTGAACAGATACAAGAGGCCTGTGAAGGAAAATGGGGCTGGGTACCAGTGGCCCATAACTGTAATTCTAGCTACTGAAGAGACTGAGATATGAGGATGCTGGTTTGAAATGAGCTGGAGGCAGGTTAAATCCTCAAGATTCTTATTGCCAAATAACCAGCAGGATCTAGAAGTGTGGCTTAAGTGGACATCACTAGCTATGAGTGCAGAAAGTTAGTGAGAGCATGAGGACCTAAATTTGAGCCATAGTGCCAGCACAAAAAAGGAAAATGGGACCCCAAGATAATAATACAGAGATAATGAGTTCAAGAAAGCTACTTTTCTTGAAGCTGTGGGAACAAAGTGAATAGACTGGAGAATCTAGATGTTTGGGGAAGAAGCCCTGTAACACTGGGCTTAACTGTGTGAGGAAGGAGCATTGCGTTGCTTGTGCTGGTATGACTGATTAGTTGGGAAGCAGATTATTCTGGACTGGTAAAGTTGCACTGAAATCAGGAGCTAACTGGTTTTGCTTCAGTTAAGAACTGTAGCAGGACCTCAGACACAGTGCCCAGGCCCAGAGTTCAAGCCCCAGGATCAGCAAAAATAAATAATTAAAAATAAAAAAAATCAACATTTTATTACTATGTGGTTTTTACAGGCTTTCTAGATTTTCTAGAGCAGTATATCTTCATTTTGAATAAGCTCCCATTAGATGATAGGGAAGAGTTGGGAATAAAGAAAACCTATATGGACCATGTAGCAATATACTTTCTAGGTATGCAATAATGTATTTTATTGAAGTAATACATTTTGTTGAGGTAATTTGGAAAGATGTTGTCAGAAGATATAAAATTTCACTTAGGAGTAAATTTAAAAGATCTGGTTATACAACATGTGACTACAGATAAGAACAATACATTTGAAAATTGCTAATATATAGTAGTTTTTATGTTGTTTTCACCACAAAAAAGTATGAGAGGTAATGCACTTGTTAGTTTCATTTAATCATTGCTATATATGTATTTCAAAAGATTATATTGTACACTACAAATATACATAGGATTTTTGACAAGTATGTATCCATTAGTTAAAGCCAGAAGTATGAAATAGAAGTAATGGAAACATGTACTCTAGTTACTAAATATATCAGTCTTCTCTGCATATTTTGTCATTCACTTTACACCTTGAGAAATTCCATTATCCCTGTATTAGATGGTTTTCTCCAGAGAAAAAGAATCAATAGAAGGGGTAGTATTCCTGTATATGGAGGGATTGGGAGATACTTGAATGGGAATTGACTCACATAATTATGGAAGCAAGTCCAAATCTGAAGTGCGGATTAGCAGACTTGAGAACCAAGAGCTAGTAATATATTATCAGTGTAATGTGTCGCATGGGACATACATGAGAGCCAGAGGTACAGATGAAGTACTGACTGAGTCAGTCTTCTAGAGTGTTCTCTCTTGTTTAGGCCAGTCTTTTTCTTTCTCTTCATACTTTTAACCTGAATGGATGAATCCCACTTATATTATGGAAGAAAATAAATTTCATCTAAAGTACGTGAATTTGCCAGTTAATCTTTTTGAAAAGTGTGTGTGTGTGTGTGTGTGTGCGCGTGTGCGGATCCTGAGGCTTGAGCAATGCCTCGGCTCTGTCTCTGAGCTTTTTGCTCAAGGCTAGTGTGTGTGTGTGTGTGTGTGTGTGTGTGCGCGTGTGCGGATCCTGAGGCTTGAGCAATGCCTCGGCTCTGTCTCTGAGCTTGTGTGTGTGTGTGTGTGTGTGTCTGTGTGTGTGTCTGTGTGTGTGTCTGTGTGTCTGTGTGTCTGTGTGTGTCTGTGTCTGTGTGTGTGTGCGCGTGCTGTTCCTGAGGCTTGAGCAATGCCTCGGCTCTGTCTCTGAGCTTTTTTGCTCAAGGCTAGGACCCTACACTTGAACCACAGCTCCACTTCCAGTATTTTGGTAGTTAATTGGAGATAGGAATGTCACAAATTTTCCTATCCAGACTGGCTTTGAACTGCGATCCTTAGATCTTAGTCTCCTGAGTAACTGGAATTACAGGTATGAACCACTGTAGCCTGGCAGTTGACATTTTTGTTGTTGTTGTTGTTGGTCATGGAGCTGTCCTTGAGCTCTTCTGCTCAAGGCTAACGCTCTACCACTTTGAGCCACAACTCCACTTCTGATTTGCTGGCAGTTAATTGGAAATAAGAGTCTCATGGACTTTTCTGCCCACGCTGGCTTTAAACCTCAATCCCCAGACCTCAGCCTCCTGAATAGCTAGGATTACAGGTGTGAACTACCTATGAACTGTCTGGGTTGAATTTTTAGTATGTCCCTTTTTCCAGGAAGGAAGTTTATACTTCTTCTGCAAATATTTTGTATCAAATTGGCTAAATTGTGCTGTCATAACAAACAAGGGGCTTAGAATTAACAAAGTTTATTTCTTGTTTATACTGTTTATTTTAGTGGGTAGATAGGGAACCTCTCTACCTATCCTGGTCACTCAAATTCTAAACTAATAAAACAACCAACATCGTACGCAAGAATGTGGAAGAAGTCTCACATTGGCAGTTGAATGCTCTAACAAGAGCAGTATAGCAGGAGGCAGGGAGAGATGGTGAAGGAAATTAGAAGTCTGGCTTGTGTATAACCTATTTGGCTTATTGTATGGTTCATTTACTTTTTCTTCCTAGCTTTGAGTTATAAGGAAGTAATTTTAAGAGTTCAATTATAGTTATTAAGAAGAACATATCTGGGCTGGGAAGGTGGCTCAGTGGTAGAGTGCTTGCCTTGCATGCATGAGGTCCTGGGTTCGATTCCTCAGCACCACATAAGCAGAAAAAGCTGGAAGTGGTGCTGTGGCTCAAGTGGTTGAGCGCTAGCCTTGAGCTGAAGAGCTGAGGATCAGTGCCCAGGCCCAGAGTTCAGGCCCCACGACCAACAAAAAAAAAGAAAGAAAGAAAATATCTGGCCCAGGTACTTGCCTGTAATTCCAGTATTCTGAGGCCAGTCTGAACTACATAATGAGACCCTGTCTCAAAGGTATATAAATAAATAGAAATCTAAAAACAATGTAGATTGCATTTATTAATAGTATTTTTAATTTATTTTTATTTTTGTGTGGGTACTAGGACTTGAACTCATGGCCTCCTGCTTTTGCTTGGCTGTTTTGCTCAAGGCTGGCATTCTAACACTTAAGCCAGGAAAGTCCTCTTCTCTACTTTTGTGATTAATTGGAAATGAATCTTTCAGATTTGTCTGCCCTGGCTGGCTTTGAGCTGTAATCCTTAGCTCTCTTGAGTGAGTATACAGGCATGAGCCACATTCACCCACCATATAGATTGTATTTAGATGTAGGATATATAGGTAGCTCCCCTCCAAATATTTTACACTTTAGTTGGCTTTAACTAATAGCATTTTAAATAATTGTATTTTAGGGCACAGAGAAATTCTTGTGATTTTTTTAAAGTTTAAATCACCATTTCACTAGTTGAAAGACTGTTACAAATTGCTTTTATTCTCCAGCCTTTATACCATCATACTGTCTAAGATGTTCATTTTGCTTTGAACTGAATTGTTCTTACCAAAAGCATATGCAATTTGTTAGCCCCATGAAGGAGTAGAAAACATCCATCATAATTATTGGAATTTTCATTAGATGTAATCCCAGCCCATACAAGATCCCTGCCCTTAAGATGAAAGAAGCTAATGGTATGGACTGGTTGTGTACAGAAAAAAACCTCATGAAGTAGCAGAAGTATCAGATTTCTCAGACATTGTATTTGTATTATTACAATAAGCTACTAACCCTAACCCAAGCTGTCAATTTAGCTGTTATGCTGAACAAATTCTTCTATAGATTAGTTTTTGGTTTGGTATATTCCTTGTTATCATGATGTATAATTTTAAAGAAATTCTTTTTTTTGGGGGAGGTCCGGTTGTGGGGCCTGAACTCTGGGCCTGCGTGCTGTCCCTCAGCTCTTCAGCTCAAGGCCAGCGCTCTACCACTTGAGTCACAGCACCACTTCCGGCTTTTTTCTTTTTTGCTTATGTGGTGCTGAGGAATCGAATCCAGGGCCTCAAGCATGCAGGCAAGCGCTCTACCACTGAGCCACCTTCCCAGCCCTAAAAGAAATTCTTGAGGAGAGAATTTAAGTTCATTCTTTTTGTTTCCTTTTCAAGTTATGCCAATTCTGGTGATACTTTGTTTAATATGTGAATAAAATTAAAACATTAAATTTGTTTATGGTTGTTTTATAAAAGTGTCATCTCTACTTGCATATGTTATAATTTGTTATCAACTTCTTTTTAATGATAGACGAATCCTTAGTTCTGTGGAAAAGAGCAGACAGAAATATAAGCCAGCTTCTCTCACAGTGGAGTTTGTTCCTTTCTTTTATCGTAAGTAACATACTAATTCATTTTACTTTGATTTTCATTTTATTTTTATTATTCTTTTTTCCTTACTCTTGATTTTGACTTTAATTCAGCTTTGTGAATCGATAAGATAAAGGTCATTTAAGAATATGTCACTGGAGTAGTTATTCATGTTTGGCTCTCATTATGTCTGGTTATGATTGATTTACTTGTATTTTTCTGAGCAGAAATTTTTTTGGGTGAATTGAATATTTTAATGATGGTTGTATATTTTAGAACTTCAGAATGTTTATAAAAATCTTGTCTAGGGGTAATCTGTGGTAGAGCATGCACAAGTCTGTGGATTTGATCTTTAGTCCCTTTACCTCCCACCCCATCCCCCCAAAAATAAAACCTGAGAAACCAAATCAAACAGCAGTTATAAAAACCAGAGACATTGCCACTATGCCTGTGATTATTCTGTATTTTCAAGAATACAAAAAACTTCTCAGAATAAAAAGAAACACTGTATATATGTTTCTTGTATCTATTGCCTATTCAAATATATCAGATCTTAACATTTTGCCATGTTTACTTTTATTTTCTCATGATATAAAAGAAGATATAGTCCTTTCCTTCTTTCTTTCTTTCTTTCTTCCCTTCTTTCCTTCCTTCCTTCTTTCCTTCCTTCCTCTCTCTCTTTCCTCCTTCCTTCCTTCCTTCCTTTGTTGGCCATAGGGCCTGAACTCTGGGCCTGTGCACTGTCCATCAGAAATTCAGCTCAAGGCTAGTGCTCTACCACTTGAGCAACAGCACCACTTAGGGCTTTTTCTGCTTATGTGGTGCTGAGGAATTGAACCCAGGGTCTCATGCATGCAAGACAAGCACTCTACAACTGAGCCACCTTCCCAACCCTCATTTCTTTTCTTAATGAAGAGGATTACAGTGCCCACCATACATCACTACTAATAATACTCCCATGTCTATAATAAACTGTGCTTGGAACTAGTGTCACTTAGAAGGTATGGGACTAATACCAGTAGAAAATATAAAGTGTTTCTGTATGATGAGTTTGTTTGTTTGTTTGTTTTTTGCTATCCACAGGAGCTGTTCTTTAGTTTGTTAAGTACAACACTAGACTTGTGAGCATGGGAGCTATAAAATTACATTGATAGGATAGGCATAGAATATACATTTTCATTTCAAAAGAAGTTAATAGGAAGAAAGGTGACAGGTTTCAGACAAGTCTAAAATCTGGCAAGACAACAAATTCCATTAGACTTTATAGCTTGATTATAATCTACTTTCTTTTAGTATTCTGCCCGCTAGTCCCCTTTTTGTTAGTGATATCCCTTCCAGTTCAGAAGGGCATTCTCCCCCATTCTTTCTCTGAAAACCCTATCCTATGGAATACAAGAAGTCTAGCAGTTTATGTGCTTCATTCTTTTCCACTTTTTCTGTCCTCTTTTATATATTTCTTCTGGTTTTATAAGCCAGTCTTTATTCCTGGCCCCTACTGAGATAGCTAAATAAGTTCAGTAATTATACTTGTAATGATTCATCAGATGGTTTTTCAGTCAGTCCTTAGTGTTTTCTTCAGAACAAGCTTTCTAAATTTTTGCAATTTGGGTAGGGTGAGAAATTTAAAATATCTTCAAATTCTGATTCTTTTTTGCTTAATTTCTTCCTCAGTTTATTTTTCTCCTTACACATTTTTCTATAGTCAGAAGAGATTAGGTTGCTTAGAAATGGTCTTAACCAACTATCCATTTCATCACTTGTAAGTTTTACCTTTCATAAACTACTAGGAAAGGTTTAGCAGAGGTCCTTGCCAATTTCTAACAAGGATAGCATTTCCTCCAGTTTTTAGTAATTTCTACTTGTTACTAATTACTACTTGAGATCTTACCAGAATTTCCCTGAAACCCTTACATGTAGATATTACTTAAAAATTCCTCGTCTCTACACATTACCCAATTCCAAAGCCATTTCTACAATTTTAGGTGTTCATTACCTCTACTTCATACCAAAATCTGTTTCAATCTGCTCAGGCTAACATAACAAAATGCCATATTTTGATGGCTTAATGTTAGTCTAATTAGGTAATGTTAGCACCATCTTCTTTCCCTCTCTTTTTTGTGAAAGTATATTTAAAATTACTGTTATGATTACCCTAATAGTCTCCAGCAGAGCTGCCAGGTGCTAAAGTTTGAGTTTTAATTTAATTGTGGGCCAATTTCTGTGTGAATAGAAGGCTATTCAGATATTTTTCTTCTGTTTTTGTAATTTGTGTCTTTCAAAGAATTTATGGTTTTCACTTACGTTGTTAACTTTATGGACATAAAGTTTTTTTTAATATATGTTTATTATCTTTTCAAAGTCTGTGAGCTTTGGATTGATGTCCTATCTTTCATTCCTGAAAAAAATGCTCTCTCCTTTTTTTTCTTAATCAGTATAATTTGAACCATGTCCCCAATCCTAAGGAATTGTAAGGAATAGGTATTTGTTGTTGTTTTTTTTTGTTTTTGTTTTTTATTTTTTAAGTAAAGCAATTGTTTTAGCTTTATTTCACAGACTTCGGTATGCTTTTTAAATTTTTCATTTGGTTTAGATTATTTTCCAATTTTTCATCTTTTTGTATCTTTTCTTTTGTTGTATGCCTGTCCTTGGGCTTGAACTCATTCCTGAGCACTGTCCCTGAGGTTTTTTGCTCAAGGCTTGTGCATACCACTTGAGCCACACTCTACTTCCAGCTTTTTTGGTGTTTGATTGGCAATAAGAATCTTAGGGATTTTACTGCTTGGGCTGGTTTTGAACACAGATCCTCATAGTAGAATTATTATTAAAATAAAGAGGAGAAAACATTATAAATGTTAAAGTGGTTAAAGAGATGTACATCATTATAGTGATACTTGCTTTCTGGCCATAAAAATGAATAAGGTAAATGTATCTGTTAAAATTATTAATATCCGGAATTAAATATAAAAAGGTATGATTCAGTACATTCAGCTCTTTATAGTATAGTTGCCCTCCATATCTATAAATGCCATATCTTCAGGTTCAAGTAACTGGTTTGAAAATATGCAGGAAAAAATTGTATCTTTACTGAATATGTACAAAGTTTTTCTCATCATCTTCTAAATAATATGCCAACTACATAAATAGCATTTATATTTCATTGAGTAGTCTTGAGATGGGGGGATGTACTTAGACTATGTATAAATTTTGTGCCATTTTATATAAGGAACTTGAGCATGTATGTGTTTTAAAATACAAGGGTTCTGGAAGCAATCACCTGCATATACTGAGAAAAGATGGAAGTTATAACCTTTTTTTTTTTAAGGTAGATTAATACTGTAAGTTGTTGAAGAAGTTAGAAATGGACTTTCTATTAAGTTGGAGCAAGTAAGCCTGTAATCCTAACTACTCATGAGGCTGAGATCTAAGGATCACGGTTCCAACCCAGCCCGAGCAGAAATGTCCTTGAGACTCTTATCTCCAATAAACCACTCAGAAAACCGGAAGTGGCACTATGGCTCAAGTGGTAGAGCTCTAGCCTTGAACTGAAGAGCTGAGGGACAGAGTTCAAGCCCTACAACCGACCCTCCCCCCAAAATATATATCTTTTTCTATGCAGTATTTATTGTATGAGATCATGAATAAGATTCCTAAAATGGTTCTAATTTATGACTTCAAAATGTTTATAAGTTTTGCCTTTTGATGCATCTTTTGCTTTATTACAAATGATTCTGCATGTTTCACGTTGACATATTCAATGGATGACTCATGTTGTAGAAAAGAAATCTTATTTATTTATTTGTATATTATATTCACAGAATGTTTTCAGGAAAGTGAACATCTCAAGGAAAGTCTTAAATGTTGCTTACTACATCTCTTTGGAGCCATTGTAGCCGGTGGGCAGGTGAGGACAGTGTTGAAAGTTAATATACAACTTATAGTTAACAGTACAAAAAGCTTTCTATGGATGATGTAGTGAATTCTTTTTCTTTTTATAACATTATGAATCATATAAATATTTTTGAGTTTGTATTTTATTTAAAGTGAAATTTCTTCCAGAAAAATCTTGTAGACAACTAAGTAATAATACTGACAATAAAATTACTGGATACATACCCTAGATTTATTGAATTTTGGTATTATAAATTCATATTTGTGTCATTCTTCAGCTACTAGATTTTACTGTAGGGTATAGAGGAACTCAGTTCTAAGAATTGACTTGATGAAATCAAATACTAGCAGTTTGATTTCCAAAGTCATGTTAATTTAGCCCACTTTTCTGCTTACTTATAATTACTAAATACATTTATGCAACTTTTTTCATTGTTGTTGGTTGAAGGGCTTGACCTGGAGCCTGAGTGCTGTCCCTGAGCTCTTTTACTTAAGACTAGTGCTCTACCACTTTGAGTCACAGTTCCAGTTCTGGTTTTCTGGAGGTTAATTAGAGATAAGAGTCTCATGGACTTCCCTTTTTGGGCTAGCTTTGAACTGAGATCCTCAGATCTAAGCCTCCTGAGTAGCTAGGATTATAGGCATGAGCCACCAGCACCTGGCAACAACTTTTAATGTATGTTTTTAACAAATATAACTAGTTTTTCTTTATTATTTATGAAAAAGAATTTGTAGTAATTTTTCTAACTTGTGGTTCTGGTAAACTTTGAGTATGACTATTAGTTGGCAACTGGATTATAATTTAGAAAGAGCATTCTACCTTTGGCAGTTTGATATAGTCCCTTTGATAGATTCATGGTCTGTGTTTAGCCCTATATATGTTATGTATATGGATATATATGTATATGCATGTCTATAAGTATTTATGTCTGAAGTTTAACTTCTACATATGAGTGAAAGCATATGATATTTTTTGTTTTTAATTTTAATTTAATAAATTTGATTTAACTAAATTTGTACAGTTTTACTATAAGACATTTATTAAGGAAATATATATGTCACTGGGCTGTTATAGACTTATTTCAAAGGGATATAAGTTGGATTAGCTTGATCATAAAATTTTGAAATAAGCATTTTGTTTGCCATCTTATTCATTTCTGATTCTAAAAATGGAGAAATGACTAGCTATGTGCTTGGGCAATATTTAGATTACTTTTGACTTAGACAGAAAAACTGGATTCATTCATGTGAACTGATCTTGTCATCCTTAACACTAAGGCAGAGGAGCCAGAGAGTATTCATCATTTGGGAGAGACTTAAAAAAATTTTTTTTATTGTAAAGATACTGTGTAGAGTGGTTACAGTTACGATACTTTATTTTTTGAGGTTGGCTTGTCTTGCTAATGTAATATTCTCCAGTTGCATCTATCTTCCTGAAAATGATATGATTTCACTTTTCTTTATGGGTATGTAGTATTCTATAGTGTTTGCCTACATACATATTTACTGCAACTTCTTTATTCATTTGTTACTGCATACCTAAGTTGATTCCACCATTTGGCTATTGAGAACAGAGCTACAATAAACATATATGTGCAGATACCTTTAGAATATATGCCCATTAGTAGTAAGATGGGTCATAAGGAAGGTCTAGTTTTATTCTTTTGAGGATCCTCCATACTGATTTCCATAGTAGTTGCACTCCTTTATATTCGCACTGACAACATTTGTTGTTTTCTTAATGGCTACAACCCTGACTGGGATGAGTTAGATTCTTAGATTTTATTTTGCATTTCCTTTATGACTAAGGATGTTGAACATTTCTTCATGTATCTGTTAACCATTTATATTTCTTCTTGTGGGAACTGTCTAGTTTGCTTGCCTACTTATTAATTGGATAACTTGTTCTCTTGCTGTTTATCTTTTTAAGTCATCTTATATTCTGCATATTAGTCTTTTATCTGCTTAATAGCTGGCAAAGATTTTCTCCATTCTGTGTGTTGTCTCTTGATTCTCATGATTTCTTATTTCTGTATATGCAGAAACTCTTTAATGTAATATAATGCCATTTGTCAGTTCTTACTCCCATTGTTTGGGCAATTGGAATCCTAAGCTTATAATTTCCAGAGTTTTTCCTACATTCTCTAAGAGATTTAAAGTTTCAGATCTTACTTTGTGCTCTTTGTAGTAATGGAATTGATTTTAGTACAAGGTCAATATAGCAGTCCAATTTCAGTCTACAGGTGAATACCCGGTTTTCCCATGACCATTTGTTGAAGAAGCTGTTTTCTTTTTTCCTCCTCTATCGTATGTTCTTGAATACTTGTCAAAAATTAGTTGGCTGTAGATATGTGGTTTTGTTCCTATATTTCCATTGGTTTTGGGGGTCTGTTTTTGTATCAGTACCAGTGTTTTTATTACTCTGTAGTATGATTTGAAGTGTCATACCTACAGTGTTGCTTTTTTTTTTTTTAACTCAGAATTGCCTTTGTCATTTAAGGATTTTTTATGCATTCACACGAATTTTTGGATTGATTTTTATAATTCTGTGAAGAATGATACTGAGATTTTGATGGTATTGAGTTGAATTTGCTTTTCTCTTATGACAGTGTGACCATTTTCATGATATTATTTTTTGCCAATCTGTAGGCTTGGGATGTCTTTCCATCTTTTAATGTCTTTACTTTCTTTCCTCAAGGTTTTGTGTTTTCCCTGTTGCTATCATTTCTTCATTATCATCATGAATAAGAATTAATATATGTGAATGAAAATGGAGATAGTATCGCTATGAACTAATCATGATTCTCCATCTTGTCTATCTTAGATCCCAGTCTCCCTTCTTCCCTACCCCCCTCTGTTTTTTGGGGGGTTGTAGAGCTTAAACTCAGTGCCTGGGGGCTGTCCATGAGCCTCTTTCTGCTCAAGACTAGTGCTCTATCATTTGAGCCACAGCACTACTTCCCATTTTTTTTTTTTGGTCGGTCGTGGGGCTTGAACTCTGGGCCTGAGCGCTGTCGCTCAGCTCTTCAGCTCAAGGCAAGCGCTCTACCACTTGAGCTACAGCGCCACTATTACTTCCCATTTTTGAGTAGCTAATTAGAGATAAGAATCTCATGGGGACTTTTCTGCCCGAGCTAGGTTTGAACTGCAGTTCTCAGATCTCAGCCTCCTGAGTAGCTAGTATTACAGGTGTGAGCCACTGGCACCTGGCCTTCTTCCTTTTGGAATATAGAGAAAGGTTATTGTTAGTATCTAGTAACAAAACCCCAGAAGATTTGTGTACTGAAAAGTTAGTTTGAAAATCAAATAGATAATGAAATTCAATTTTTTTTATATACTAAGGAGACTCAAAATTTTTGTAATCAAACTCTGACTATAGTTAGATTTGTCTCAAGTCACCAGTTTGCTTCTTGAGTATGGAATCGATATAAGGGAATTTAGATAATTGAATATATAAACATATACAAATGATTTTGTCACAAAGTCTAGAAAGATTGATGTTTAACAGTACTCTCTTTTACCAAGGATAGAATATTGTTTCTAGGCTTACCATTGGCTTATTTGTTCTAAAGCTCTAGGAATACATACATGAAAACCTATCTTAAGAGTTAGGGTTTTAGGGCTGAGGTAGGTTTGAGTCCCATGGCTATCTCAAACTAGTTGTTTTGATATCAGATAAACTATTTTACATGTATTTCAGTTTATTTATAATGTGTAAACAGCAATATTTATAGTAGTTATAAGGACTGAACTGCATATAGTAAAACATAATATGCTTGCTACACTTGTAAACACTAAATTAGTCATAATTATGTGATAAGTTAGTCATAATCCTATCAATTAGAGTTGCATAAGTAGTAGGAATGAATAAAGTTATCCCAACTTAAGTTAGCTTTTCTCTCTCAATAAAAAACAAAGTTGTGGAGTTGAAGGTTTAATTCAGTACAATGTACCCTAAGCAAGTATCATGCCTGAGGTTCAATCTCTAGCACCAACAAAACAAAATAATCCCCACCCAACCAAATCCATAGTTAATATGTTAGATCTAGAATCTACAGGGACTTAGATTTCTTCTACATGTCATTCTGTTATCTTTACTTTTATCTCTTATGCTATGTAGGTTATAGAATTCTAGTCTTTTTTTTTTTTTTGTCGGTCGTGGGGCTT